ATTGATTTTTTTTTTTTTTTTGGTTCAGATGCAGAGTTGCCTACAGCTTACTGAACAATAGACCTACTCAGGGTGAGAAGTGATTACTTGTTCTTTAAGACTTTTTTCCCAGTGCTCATTGCCTCACGGGATTCAGACAGTTAATTAGGAACAACCTAAGTGCATACTGCTGTTTGGGGCTTAGTCATGTTTAAGGATTCATTCATTCTTTCTCAACTCTAAGAAAGAAAATCAATGCTTTGACTGGGCATGAGAGGGAGAGTAATTTTTGGTGCGTGTGAGAAGACAACTACAGTGTTAATTTTTTTTAAACTAATCAAGTACAGGGTACAAAATGCACAGATTGAGTGTAAAACTACAGGGAAAAAAAAGGGGGCGGGGGGATTCCATATACTTAAGTTGAATTTGGAAGTAACTTCCTTCCATCTGGGTTAGAGCACACCACAGCTGTGTGAAGTAAGATTGAAGAAATGGTTTTGTTGTACTTTGATCGGAACCCATGCTCAACTGATATGCCGTAAAGGGACCAGGGTCAACTTAGACACTTTTTAAGAACTGTCATGTGTTGTTCTGCCCCCTCCCAACCCCTCTGGATCTGAACTAAATCTAGTAACAGCTTCACTAGTATAGAAGCTTTTCCAGTAGGGCAATTAAAACAAAAGGGCAGCTTCTTTGTAGCAGATTAAGATTTTTGTTATTGAGCTCCCAGCACCTCATGCAAACTGTCTTTTTTGGACTACATTACATTACTTCATTCAGGGTGTTCTTAAACACAGGTTACTGTTAAATGCTCAGCACAAAAACTCGAATTGGTATCTTTAAAGCTGATAATTGAGTAGTATCTCATTGAAGTGGTTCCTTTTCCTTGGCCTGCCCTTTCAGAGGCTTTCAGCATGGAGAGCTTCAGTTTTTCCTGAGAGCTCAGAGCACCTGTGCACCCTGCTATACAACAGTACGAAGCACAGAAGAAATCAAGGAACAGAGGGAGGTAGTTCTGAAATTTAAGCATAAGAGCACCCAACAAAGCTACCACCACTACCTCTCATTTAGCTATTTCATAAAGACCACATCTCCACCCATCATCATTTAGCTAAAATGCATCTGCATTGGTTACTGCAAAGACTTAAGCCATTTCGCTCGTTACACAAGCTGCATTACCATTAAATCAATAATGGAAAGAAACTTTAATACAAGTTTATTTACCAATATACAATGCAAAAACCTAGTAAAATGCTGAGTGTGCACAACATCAGTTAGGTTTTACATGATTTCAGCACAGGCATTTGTGTGTCTGGCACAGCTACACCAGTACACTGTTCAAATGAGTGCAACATTCCCTTTAAGGAAGAAGCTGATGAGCTGAACATGCTCACCAGGTACCTTCCTTCACAGTATTTAATGTGGGCACATGCAAAAACATTTTGCAAGAAGAGATAGTAAACCAAGAGGCCAATTAAGTCTGTTACAATTGCAAAGAAAATTGATGCAGCCGCCGCACAAGAGAATAATGGCAGAGTGCTTAGTTTGTGTGATTTACAAGGCAGTTTATGGTCCAAGACTCGTGCAAACCTGCTAACGCTGTTCTTAATGCTTGCTGGGACTGCAACGAACACAGGGCAGGAGGGGCCATATCCAGAATATGCTGTAACAAGCCCTTCTGCGCTGGCTAGTACACGCAGAATGGAAATTAATGCTCCCTTGTTACCTAGTGAGCAAATATTACTGTAAAACATTGCTGGGACTGGACTGATCGAAGTAAACATACAGCATTAAAACAGACTTATTGCTGCCTCTATCAGTAGCAGAAGATCAGTATTTTGAACAGCTTATGGAGTGTCACTTTTTCATAGGCTTACATCAATGCTGTTAGGACAGATACTTTTAATTAGTAATATCTTTAATTAGAAAAGTCAAGAGCATCAAGCATATAAAACACCTTTTCATTAGCAACATGAAGGCTAGGTTATTTGTACAGTATAGGAAGCACTTCCAGATCAACACAAGATACAAGTTGAAGAGCTCTGTGCCATGTTTTTTCTCAGCCCCTTCACCACAGAAGAGCATAGCGCTAGTAAGTTGCTGGATTAACATAACTGCATCTCAACTTAAAAACAAACAAACAAAAAAACAGCAGCTCATAACAAAGGAATGCTTAGACTAAATCAGTTCCATGTGAAAATATGGAACAGCAGCATCCTCTAGTGCAAGTCACCTTTAAAATTAAAAGCATAGCTGACAATGAGACATTGCTTCTAGGGAAGCCCTTTCCAAGGGACTAGTATTTGCTAAAGCAAACATTTACCACCTTGAATTTGCTTGCAAGTATAAAATAAATATCGATATCCATATTTCATACATTAAAAATACTTTATTTTACATTCATTTTGATGTTCAATAAGTTACGTCTAGCACCAAAGAAACATTTTGGAGGGGCTGAGGAATTAAGAAACTACAAAGTGTAAATGCAGAATTCACTTCAACATTTAAATGACTCATTGGTGCCGAGATTTTTTTTTTTTTTTTAAGTTCAGATGGGCTTTAGACTATTGCTTCAGTTAGACTTAGATGTGCCAAAACAGTGTACAAACAAACAAAGAAAAAAAAAATCACAGATTTGAGGAAAAAATAAAAAAAACAACTCCAATTCTTTTAAACTCCCAGCTACACGCAGAGGTGAGGCTCCAGTACGCTATCAGTAATGGGATGTTAACGGCAGTTAGGTAACAAGTTACAGGAAGAACCAAATTGCAAAACTACAATACTAGAAAGGCTTGAGCTTCCTTTCCGCAGGAGTAGGACAGAGAAAATAACCGAGAGTTTATACCTTATGAATCTGTGTGCTGTTTGCAAATGCATATAGGGTGGAAGTGGTTCTTAAAGCTACTCAGCACATTGGAGTTAGTTCCACTGCTGCCAAGGAGAGACAGTTTTGTCTCGAGTATTCCGCAACAAGCCACTTACAGGTAAGCCAAACAAAATATTACATCCAAGAGGACATAGCCCTTACCTTTTTTTGAAGGGACATAACATCACAGGCTCAAAAGAAAAAGGCACTAGAGTTTTGGTTTTTTCTTTCTTAGAAATGCTGGCTTTGTAACTGTACCCCTTTTATTCTAAACTCACTGGTAACACTGTTTTGGTAATGCTGGATATATTAACTAAAACCCACTTCTGATCAGTATACCTCTGCCAAGTCGCAGAATTAATACCACTTTAAGATTTTGTGGTATCCTCACTGACTACAGCCCAAAGCATCAAACCAAGATGACGTTCGCAGGGCTTGCGCTTGTTCTGGAGGCTGTCCAGTTCCATGTTTTGGCACACCTGCACTCCAGAAGACCTGCCCAGCTGGCCTCCGGTCACAGCTTCCCGCTCTGGATGTGACCAGTAGAGAGGCTTAGGCACAAGTGACACTGTGCCGTCTTCCACATGGCAATCACCATTTTTTATTCATTTGGTTAAATACCAGCATGGGAATTTAAGGATGAAATGAGCATAGAAATGCTTTTCTAGTCCTCCTTCAACTTCTTTCCTTTAATTGGTAGATCTTACTAAAACAGTACTGTGGATCTGGCATTTCTGTACGTGCTGTGTTACATTGCCAGCTGGTGCCTGTCGCAAGCACCCCGTTCAGAGCGCAGTCGTTACAGCTGTGACGAGTTACCTGTCAAGGTGCGCTGCTCACACTGCAGTGGGCTGTATTCACAGTTCTCCTACCATGTCAGTAATTCCAACTTCAACGTGCTTATTAGTCCGGTACGTTTCAAGGTATGTGCAATTAGAACCCTGTAATGGCTTGATTTACAGCTCCCTACTTCAGGAGCACATTAGCTGTGCATTTTGACCTAATCTGTATCACTTCTCATTTTTATTTTTAAAAACTAATCTCAGGGATCACTCTCCGCCTGAGAATCTTGCTCCCTTTCCCTGTCCCTCCCAATCAAATTCAGGAGGCAGCAGCTACACCTCCTCAGCCCATACAAGCTCAGAAGTCACAGATACCAAAGGAGGAGCAGGCTCCCCCAACAAGAAGGAACGGTGATTTTGCTGCTGTCTGAGGCTCCCAACCGCTGCAAGACAACTCGCTCCCTACTTTCCCAAACCCCATTTCTGGCCCAAATCGGCCACTTCACAGTAGTGCTGACCCCTCCTCCAGAACAGAGCACAACAGCTGCCGTGTACTCCTACAACTCTGCTACTATTGAGTTACCATCAAAGCTTCAGTGGGGTCTGTTTCAGCAAAAACTCAAGACAAACCTATGTCCAGATCAGCTGGGTGCGAAGGCAGCTGTTCAAGAACCCTTTCCATAGCACAAGTACCTGAAGGCATCTCACCTACCACATTTCTTCCCTTCCACTCCCTGCCATGGCTCATCCCTGCTGTATTCTCAACAGAAGCTTTCACTGCACTGTTCCAGTGCCTTGGTTGCAGTTACTAAGGAGAACGTTCTAAAAGCTTAGCAATGGTCACAGAAATCCCCACTCACCGTGCTCCTGAGCTCAGGACTTTTGTAAGCTTCATTTTGCTGCCAGCATTATGCAAAAAAAAAAAAAGAAAAAAAGAAAAAAAAAAAAGAAAAAACCCTACCCAACAAAGGGAGAAGAAAGTTTCCAGCAAATGAAACTATCTCCCACCTTCAAAGAAAAGCAAGGATTACACTGATGTTCATTCGTCTAATAGTAAGGAGTAAAGTAACTACTCTGGGACTAGTGGACTTGAGTAAGTTCACATGAAAGCAAGCTGTTCTAATAATGTACCAAAAGCAGTGAAATCCAATGTAGAAGTTTCACAATTAAGTACTTTCCATGATCCAAAGCAAAAGTCTATTTGAACCATGGATCATGAATACTGGGGGGGTTTACGTATTTGCTTTTTTGTTTTGTTTTGTTTTGTTTTTAACTGAGATAATTTCTGTATCTTTGGGGAGGGAAGGAAAAAAATAACGGAGTCCTTGAGGCTATAGTGGGCCTCTGCTGTGTTTTTTCACATCAGCTGAGTTTCATGAAGCATCCCTGGATATCCAACCACTTTCTGTTAGAAAGTTTAAAATCCTTTTCTTCAGTACCTTATCTAAGTAACTGGGAAGGCGACTCTTTGAAGGAATTCCTTGTCTTTTTTGGAGATGGTCTTTAATGATTATAGTTTTTACAGTCACATAACGTGCAGGACTCAAATTTAGAGAGCTGCAGAGCACTTTTTCCCTGTCCGATAAGAGTTCAAAGCCAGGCAGGTTTTCAATGGCAGCAAATTCACCGTCTTTACCATCCTCCTTCCCTCTCTTGGAACTAGCTATGTTTTTGTTCTCCTTCCTCTTTTCCCGTTTATGCCTGGCTGCCTCATATTCTGCCGACTCTTCCATTTTGGTGATTCCATTTCGACGATACCGCTGCAGCTCCCGAATCTTTGCTCGAAGTATCCTCTCCTTGTGCATGTTCTCAAAGAAGTCTTCAAACTCCTTACAAGACATGAATTGGTACAGAGGCCTCAGTTTCAGCCTCAACTCCTTCTCTTCTTTTGTGATCTTCCGTTTGGGAGCTTTCTCCTTGTCCTTTTTATCCTTCCCCAGGAAAGCCGGTACCAAGTTATAGTCTCGTGCAATGTTCTTCCGCCGTTGCCTCTCCTTGAGTTTCCTTACATACATGTCTACGTGAGCTCTTTTTAACTCTATTTCCACATCATCGTCATCGTAGTTCACCGAAAGGCCACTGATCAGAGTCTCCGCATCTTGATCGTATTCGATCTCGTAGTCATCCCGAAGCGGCATGTATCCCAACTGCTGCTGCTCAGCCACCGATATATCCAATGGTGGGAGCGGCGTGGTCAAGCTAGGAGAAAGCGGGCCGCCGCTGGGACACGTGTGATCCGTTACTCTGTTCGGAATAGTGTCAGGGATGCAGGCTTTTCCCAGGTTGCCATGGATGTACATGCTCACATAGTGTTCCATCACCTCCTGAGGTGTTCGGGATGCTCCCACATGAGCGGCCATGTCCTCCTAAACAGAAAATAAGGAGTGACAAAATGATTCCCATTACATCTCCAGCATAAGATGCGCTCAGGTAAGAGCATGACTTCTTCCCTGCTCCTCAAAAGCCAACTTACAAAGCCTAAACTTTTCTAGCAGTACTGAAATTAGCCACGTTTCCATCAGATCTGCATTCTCAGGTCCAAATAAGTATTTACAAGGGCACAGGGGCACATAAGCCATGAAAACAGCACCAGAAACGTCACTAAGGCAACCTGCATCATATCCTCTAGGTACAGGAACACCATCGAGACATCGGATTCACGTGGTGATTCCTGGGCATCCACCGCTCTCTCAGAAAGGCAGCTTACCATCACCAGGAAGCTTTCTAAGTCCCAAGCCAGCACCGAGATCACGACGTCATTTGGATTTTGCTTGTCTATATTGCACTGCTGAAGGACTTTTAGAGCAATGCAGAAACACAGTATTTATAGTAAGAAAGATAGTATTTACTCTTTTCTAGCTCTTTAAGAACTAAAGCAAGCTACAGCAGTCATAAACTTTAAGATTGTGAAAAAGTCTTTACATTTAACGAAGCAAAACGTAACCAAGCAACAATCAGTGAATGAAATTATGATGGTTTTACTGCTGTTTCTTAAAAGCCGACACAGAAGGCAAGCAGCGAGTTTACGACTGTGACAGCCGAAGGAAACGGAGGGTGCAAGAGCCGTAACTGGGGAAGGCACACGCTGGAACTTAAGGTAGCAACAGGTCCGAGAAGCCCGAAGCGCTCCTCCGACCAGCGGTCCCCCCACGGCAGACCGAGGCGGCCCGCCCGGCCCGGGCCTGCCGGCCAGCGGG